CGGTCGAGGCTCACGTCCGTTTCGGGTGGCCACACAATGTATACAGTCTTGTACGAAGCGAGTGATATCAGCGCTCAGTGTACGCCACCAGCACCAGTTTGCGACCGCTTCCATCGTGGTCTTAGCGCCACGGTGGCCGCTAACACCAGCGTGGGCAACAACACAAATGCGATGGATGAGGTCCGTTGACACCTCCGGTATCCACACCAGGTTTCCACCCAGCCCAAAGCACTCTTGTTCGTTGCTCCACTGCACCTGGGCAGGACGGTCATCTTGCTCACGCTGAATCGTGCGGATCTCGTCCATGGTCGGTCAGTTGAACTCGGACGAAGCCAGCGGCGATATAGGCGGGACAACCACAACTTGGTTGACATTAGCAGGGATGCCTTCAGGTTTGTTGACACCACAGCCCCAACGACTCAGCATATCAGCCCATACATTATCAGCTCCCTTGACATGCTCGATCACGTACTTGTACGAAGTCATAACCATGGACCATCGCTGAAGCTTGTCAGCCTGGTAGCGCTGCATCGGTCCGTCACTTGCGGACGGGTCGAACATGTACACGAGGTTACGATGGTCCGTAAACAAGTGGAAGCCGCCAGGTCGCAAAAGCAGGTACTCCAAGCGCTTCGCCGCCTCAACAATCGCGAAGGCCTCCTTCTCAATTGTCGGCCAGCGTAATTGAGCACCCGTAAATTTGCCACTGAGAAATGCTAGTGGCTAGTGATCCGGTTGGTCGGGCGGTTTCGCCAAGTCTTCTTCATCCACTGCAGTACAGACGGCCGCCCAGAAGTCTTGCGACGCATCGGTGTACAAGGCGACGGCGGTGTTCGGGTCAGGATGTGCCAGCGGAACCATGGCAAGTAGTGCGTTGCGGAGCTGCTGAAGAGCCTCTGTATGTTGAGGTCCCCACCCTAGCTCCACCAGAGAAATTCGGCCCAACTGTTTTGACTTCCGCCCACCTGCACGCTTGGCCGCGTCGTCCACCACACGCAGCAACGGGTCCACTAACTCGCTGTAGCCGGCGATGTTCTGCCGCATCAAGTTTGTGGCACAAAGGAATTGCTGGAGCTGCCCAGCATTTACCGGATCGGGCATGGAGACCAGTCCTTGCACTCGAGACGGGCAATGCTTCACACCTTCAGCGCTCACGAGCTTTCCACACCAACGTGCCTCACGAAGAAAGAAATGACACTTGCCTGGGTGTAGCTTAAGTCCGAAAGACTTACAGGCCGACAACACGCGTTCCAACACCTCCAGCAAAGTCACGTGGGCCTCCGCGTATCCCAAAATGTCATCCATCCAGGCCAGGATACCATGATCGAGGAGTGGTTGGAATACCTCCTCCACCACATGTTGACAATACGCCACCGAGTCCGTGTCTCCCATGAGAACGCGCGTGGGTGTGATTATCCCACGGTGCGTCACAATAGAGAACAGCTCCTGCGAGTCGGGATGCAGCGGAAGCTGCCAGTAACCACGAAACCAGTCGAGCGTAAAGTAGCACGTCGTGCCATCCAGCAACTTCAAGGCCGCATCGAGTATGGGCATCGGCCACTGGATGGGATCCGTTCCCTCATTCACTCTCCTTGTGTCGACCGTCATCCGATAGGTTCCCGTTGTGCTCTTCGACACAATCCGAGGTGGTGACGCCCAGCGGCTACGCGGATTTACATACACCAGTCCCGCATCGAGTAGTTCGCCGACATGCTGCTCCAAATACTCCATGTGAGCCGGCGGATACCGGCGTGCATTGGTACGAACAAGAGTAGCTCCTTCACGGAGGCGCACGCGCAGCGGTTCTACCCGCTCTGGGGGATCATGACCGCAGGAAGTCCGAACGACATCTTGATACTCCAGTAATAGCAGCCTCCGTTGTTCGACCTCAGCTTCCCCCAGACCGGCGAGGGCAGCTTCTTCCACACGCTCCTGTAGGATCGCAGCGACCTGGTCACCTTGTTTTCCATCCAGCTCCGGCGTCGCAGCTCTCAAGTCCGTTGCGTCAAGACGGGCTGAGTCCGAGAGAGAATTATCACGAATGAGGTTGATCGACGCGCTCCCTTCTCCGCCACCTAGCTCCTGCAAATCCCACTTCTGCCGAGTGTCACACGCTCGGGCCAGAATAGCTTCAGCCGAATACCCGAGGTGCTCCATTACGGGCCTCGACAGGACCAGCACGGACTTGCTCTTTTCTTCTTCAAACACCCATGCCCGCGTATTGCGAAGAAGCAAGGGACCTGCCATCGTGCGCAGTTGAATCACATTGAAGATAACACGTTGCGTCACGTCGAAGCAGCTACCATCAAACGTAGGCAACTGCCGAGGCGGACACTGCGCCTCTCGCACTGCAGCACCACTCCACAGCAATTGGTCAGCCAAATCCCGGCTCGCCACATTCACGTCCGCCCCGGAATCCAGCAGGACATCATGAATGTCGAGAACATTCTCCACCCTAGTCATGCATGCGCTGCCCGGCTCGATCGGAGTTTCTTCGAGGCGAACCGCTTTGATAGCATGTACAGGGGCCAATCCCTTCGCCTCCACCGGGGGTTTTCCTGGCCTTGCCTCCCTCCATTTACGTAGAAGGTCTTCTGCCTCGCCGGCTGCTGCATGGGGACAGTCCTTAACGCGATGAGCCTCGCTGCCACACTTCAAGCAGGTCCGCTTGCGAGGAGGCGGATTACTCTCTTCGGTGCGTGGAGACTTTCCGGCGGGCTTCTCGGGCTTCCTCCCGCTCGACTTCGCCACCGAGACAGAGGACTGGCGAGCGGGTTCCCACCGTAGATATTCCTTACAACTGGCACGAAGCCACTTGATAAAGGCGACGACATCCTTCAGCAGGGGCTTGTTTGACTCGCGCGCCAGCCCGTTCTTCACGGTCTCCTTGAACTGCTCTGGGGGCAGAGCATCCATCAGGCAATGGACGATCTTCTTCGGATCGCTCTCAACCATCCACTCCATGTTCTCGGTCTCGAGCACTTGGTACATTGCGTGTGCGAGCTTTGAGATACGTGAGTCAGCATCGGTAAGACTCACATCAATCACCAGCTTGCGGCTCATGAGCATCTTGACCTTGTCGAAGTCTAGTTCGCCCGTAATCTTTCCTTCCCAGAAGTAGTTGATCCAATCGGCTTCTGTTATCGCGTCGATTGGTTTACAGATGTCGAACATAGCGATCAGACGGCGGCGTTTATCCTCGACACACGCACCAACTGGGATTCGGAATGGACAAAAGAACGCCGTTTCGAGGGCGGACAGCTGCCGGCAATAGGCTTCGTACTTCTTCATGAAGCCTTGTTTTTCTTGAGCCGTCGAGCCACGAAAAATCGGAGGGGTTGGGAGCGTGAGCATTGTCTGGACGCGCTTGCTCAGCGGTAGTCTCACTTGAGCCTCATGTTCTGCACCGTCCACGCGGCCGCTTACGTCCTCCATGTCCACAGCTTCGTCAACGCCATATTCTCGACGAGGCAGCGAAAAGGGGCCTCCAGTGTTGCTCACAACGTGAGTGCTAGGGCGACGGATAGATCCTCCTCCAGCTGCAACTTGCTCAGCGGTTGCTGGAGTTGGAGTTCCGGTTTCTTCGGTACCGGGTACCGCCACAGTAGTCTCCACAGCCGCTGGTTCAGCAGGCCCAGGTGGCGGGGCGTCTTGATCAGGAATGGTGAACCCAGCCATTGTGGTTCAGGCACCAGATGACTTGCACAGTCACGAAGGGACGATTTGCACAGTCGACGCGTAGCTTGCTCAGCAGGTCGCTTGCACAGCGGGGTTTCTTGTCACTTAGTACCAGTACTAAAGCTAGCTTTGATCTGTGTCCTCGGCGTTCACGACCAAGTATGAGGGACAAAGTAAATTGCAAAGTGATTGAATATAAAGAGATCGATACCTGGCACTACTCCTGCTGCGCCCTTGTCTGTTTGCCTCCTTGATGAGGGCTTGCACAGCCTCTCCTTGGAGCACCATGGACTTTGGCTGCATCTCATGCGTCCAAATATACGATGCCAGACTTGATATCTCACCAGCTGGTCCATCGCCACTGGGGGATCATCAAGCCACACAGAAATCCTTAGGCTTTAGCTTCGTTCTCCGCTCCCAGCCTAGGAGGCTTAGTATATCACCCGCTGGTCCATCGCCACTGGGGAGCCACCAAGCACTGCATACAGTACACGGAAAGTTAATGATCACGCCTGTTCGCCACCTGATGCCCATCATCTGGGGGCATCATATCAGCCGGCGGCAGATTACTACGGCAAGATACGATACCGATCCAAACATAACGAGTGCGATATGTGAATAACCGCAGTGAACAGTTTTTAGTATGGATTGGGTAAATTAATTCTTACTAAAACCCAGCAACCACCCAATTTGAGTGGCCGCTGGCCTAGAGACGACAAATGGATTTTGTGTATCAGCACCGATCGAGCTCGAATTATGATGAATTGGTCACCGTTATGGTCAATTTTCTATCCTTGTTAGCCTAAGCATCATGCATGTCACTACTCAAATTTTTATGCGAATTGTGCATCCAGCGACACAATGCACAACATGGTTCTATACGAAATTGCACGGCCTCCAGCGGAAAGGATACAAGAAACGTGGTCGCGAAGGAATTATGTGGTCCGCCGTGAAGTAGTTCTTGAATGGACACCAACGCGGCCCTAACGACAGGCACGACGGGCTACCCTCAGCCACGCTTCCTTGAGTAGCCATCTTGCTTAATTTTTTTTTTATATAGTTGATATGGCGACCCATTTTGTTTTTTTTACAGGTATATGGTTATTATGGCGACACCATAAAAAATACAGCAAGAAGACCGGTAAGTAGTCGTTCGAGCATCTCTGGGTTATTACTGGCAAGCATTTTCCATATCACCAGTAGGTGTTGCTACCGAGGATGCCACGGACATTCGACCAATAATCAATTACTGATTTCCTGGAGATACTTCAGTAAATAATTACAGTGATCCCTCTCATACCCACCGCATGATATCGCTAGCGATGCACATTCTTCGCCAGGCAAATCCGGACGCGTCTATATTACTCATGCTGGGGACCGTTAGTTGACCTTCTGTCATGTCATGATACATGAGTAGCATGCACACATGTTTGCGCTCCTCATTAATGGCTACCTAGTTATTGACCTTGCCTGTGGGTTTAAATGGTGCGGGTCACAGGCACTGTACTTCCTTACTGGAGCTCTCATCAACGGTCTATACGATAATAGTCCACTAAACGTACATCCTGAGGCTCCCAGCAACGGACTATTCGAAGATATTTCCGGCTCACCTGCCGCAGCACCCACATCACCATTGACCGGCTCGTCCTGGTATGACGACTACACACGCATCGAGGCTGGCATGGCATTTCGATGTTTCATCGCCAATCTGGCACTGCGGCGAGCACGGTTGACTGTTCTTGGGCCTGCAGCAAACAATGAGCGGAAATTTACGCCTCGGAATGAGACTAACCGAGCGTAAGAATTGGAACGGGACACAAAAGCTGGTACAGGGGCCATTCTAGCAGATAAGATTGACAACGCTCGACGTATAGCTCGCTCCGTAATGATCTCGAGCAGGGTTACTAACCCTGGTTTATTGAGCTTACTAGGACGCCACATCGCAACCTTTTGTACCCTTACCCGAACGTGCTACCAGCGACGGCAGGCTACTACTATATTAACACCACGGCACGGGCAGCATCAGCTCCAACCTCCTGTCATTAACAATCTCGAGTGGATTTGGACTATTCGAAACGACTCTGACAAATATGATCTTGTCCCTGTATCGCAATTCGCAGCCTTTGCCGACCCTATCGTGAACTGCTATATGAGCGCATCCAACAAAGCGTTGTGTGTTGTGCCCCCCCCCCCCCTGTCAGTTTATAGGAATGCAGCTTACGTCAGTCATAAAGGAGCGGTTCCTGTTAGTGTGTGGTCCGTCTGGTATCGACGGTTTTGCAGCGATGGATTCATATTTGCTTTTAGATTGCCAATGCGAGTGCGGTTTCATGAACTCAGCGAGGAGTTAGTCGTCAGCCTCAGGCCCACTTTACAATCACCTTCTGGCCCTGTGAGGGTAATTATTCGATGATCGAAACGACATCTCACGTGTCCGGTGTAAATAATGCAAGCCTACACTGAACCGAACCAGAACCACGGCTCTGATAACCTCTAAGAATCAGGAACTGGGTCCTGCGAATTTTGGGGTTCGGACTTTCAAATGCGAAAGGATAAAAGCCGGGACTTTTCTACGAGAGCCATTGACAGGTTCTCTTTTGCTAGCAACTATTGGGCAACTGCTATTTGAAGCTGTGAGCCCAAGCGCTGAAGTTTCTCATTTTGGCTCATTAAAAATTGCGACAAGACACGTGCGCCTATTATATCGGTAATATTGGTTCATACCGACGGTAATTGGTTCCTAACCCGTTTCGTTGAAGGCGTGAAATAGTGTGATGGCCGATGCGAGCTCACATGCCTGGGATATACACCAAAACCGTCACACTAAATAAACTAACTTGTCTCGTAATTGGCAACAGGTACCTGTCACAGCGCCTTACGACGATCTCTCGCAGCAATGTGATCTATGTTCCGCGACAATGCCACTGCGGTAGCTACCTCGTTCAAGTACCAGTCATATTGCGCATGTAGTCACGATTCATGATGGGGTCTCCGTGGCTAATTGGCGATACTGTAGCTGCAAACTAGAACGGATGTGCGCAGTATACCACGAGAAAATGGATTGGAATCAGAGGTCCCGTGTGAATCAGTACGATACAATAAAGCTCTAGCAATCGAGCGTTCGTTGGTATCACCGAAGACACTATAAAATCGCTTAAATACAACGCCCAGACATACCTACTGATGCCAACGGCTACTGTACCCAGTGACAAAAAAAAACTGTCTCACCCGCATTTGTTCGGTCGTTTTACCGACACGTTTGTGAAACGTTACTACCGTTGATAGCGTCTTTGTTGCGCTTACGACAATGAATTCATGTTAAATGTCCAATTACTATCTATATTATCGATAACGTAGCTTTTTGTTTCATTTGCAGCTCGGCACAATACAAACGTAAACGCAATTGTGGCACTCTGGCAAATACTTCTGGTGTGATCGCTCACAACTTAACTTCGCTGATACACCTGATTTTAATGAGATTGCTGCCTACCACCCATCCTCGCAATGTTTGACAACCCCACGCTTTGTTCCAAATACTTGTATCATACCAGTATCGCATCGCAATCCGTGAATGTGCACATAACCACCGACTTCGTTCGACGTTTCTATAGAAATGAATATTCCCACATACTGCCCCTAAAACGGATTGCTTTAGACAGGAGGTCTACTATTCGAAGAGGTATTGTACTCTTGGGCAAATGTTCGAGCATGTAACGGGGTACATAACCCCAAATGTATCCTTAGTTACATGAAGTATGACACGTCACACTTCGGGATATCTGGTACATGGTATTAGGGTCGTCCGAGGCCAACCATTGGCTGATGACATAGCTCTACAATATATGACTTATAGTTTGTAAATTAAACTCAAGCTGTACATACCTTTAATTATATTCAGTCTACAAATTACCCCTGTTCACTTCGCTTCCTTAGGCAAAAGGGAACCCGTGAACTTCTGTTCACTGAGAGTTTGTAAACTCTCGGAAGCTAACTTCTTATAGCGCAAGGTGCTGTGTGGCTCCGTCTCACTTGGTAGCACTTCTAGTCAGTCAATCCACACCAACGCGGGTAGACTATTTGAACCTCTCTGAATCTCTTCGCCATGGATAGGAACGACTTCTCCCATCTGAACAACTCACAGTTCGAGTCGGCTCGGAAGATGGCTCGCAGGTTCGGGATGGAGGCCCTGCAGAGCCTGGTGGCATAAGCACCGGCCAATCAGCTCGAGCGTGTCAATGCGTTTAACGCTTACGAGCAAGGGCCCATCGCGCATGTGCGATATAACCTGCAGGCTCAGGCGGCGGAAACAAATCTGCCACACCCGAAGCCAATACGGCTGAAGGTTAAGCCGTATGAAGGGAAGGAAGAAGAAAACATTCACGTTTGAGCTCGAGAGGTAGAGATCGCGATGGACGTGGCTCGGATCTCGACCGAGCAGCTCCGTATTTCTTTTTGCGCTCTCCAACCTTAGCGGTCGTGCTAAGCGTTGGGAGTTCACGCGGGAGGCGACATCGCCTAGATGTTTCACATCCTGGGCTCAGCTGTGCGAACAGCTCCGAACCGTTTTACTTCCGGCGAACAACGAGTACTAGCGGCGTTCGCGCTTCCTCTCCTAAGCAAGGAAGGCGTGAGCTATACGAGTACGCCCAAGCGATACGGGAGCTCACGGCGTCCCTAGGGGCAGCCCACTCAAGGAACACATCAAGGTGACTGAGTTTACGGATGACCTTCGAGTGAGCTCGGCGCGGACTCAGCTGTTCCGGGCGCAGGCAAGCGCCCTCGAAGGGGCGATTCAAGTGGCTCTTCAGGAAGAAATCAGCCATCACCAGGCGCGCCCGCCGGTATCAGCATGGTCAGGGAATTATGCGTCGAATCCCGGTCGAGCAAACCCCGCCTGACCCGTTCCCATGGATCTCGGGTCCCCCGATCAGCACGACATTCGCTGCGGGAAGCTGGGACACGTTAAGGCGTCAATGTCCCGCGAAGAGGAACCGCAGGCGGACTTTTTTAAGCCCGTCCTCGAGGATTACTGGCAGAAGCCAGGATCGCGGGGACAGAGGAACGCCGGAGACCAGTAGGGGCGGGTCGCCCTAGTGGGGAAGAACTAAGTCTTCGTGAGGGGTGCGCGGTCGGCGTGTACCACGGGCGATTACCCCCTGAGAGTCTTCGCACTCTCGAATCGGCGAAGACCAGCGGCGGGTTGCTCGTAGTACACGGATGTGTACGGAAATACGATCACCCCTTTAGAATCTTGATCGATTCTGGGGCGTCGAAGAATTTCACACGCCGCCAGACGGTTGCTCGTAATAGCAACAAGTTGTCCGATGCGTTGAGAGAAAGCAAGGGCCACGGGGCGGTGCCAGCGCGACTGGCCGACGGGAAGGTCGCCACACTGTCCTCAACGTCCAACCGTCAAGTTTGAAGACTCTGACAACCTCAAAGAGCGCACTGTTCTCGACATGGAGCCCTAAGATATCGGACTAAGCAAGCCCTGGCTCCAGAAGCACGAGCCCAGGATCGACTGGCAAGGCAGGGCAGTTAATACCAGCCGTCCGGCGAAGATCGACAGAGCATTGGTGAGCCATGTTCCCACCTCTGTCAGGACCCGGGGTGCCCTCAAGGGATGCCGGGGTAGCGAAGCATCCAGCAGATGCTTGGAAGTCGTCGACGTAAATGACGATTACGATGACACTTCGATGGTGGCGGCGCTAGGAGGCGCTGGCCAAGTGGGTAACTTAGGGGTATCATAGTTCCGCAGACAGCTGCTGCTGTCACGAACGCAGGTAATAGCGTATCCAAGGTGGTTAACAGAGCTCCACACACGTTCGCCCAGACCTTAACTGAAGATGAAGACGTCGGATACGCTAGCCGTGTGTGTTAGACAGTGCCCCACGAGGTCGCCAGACGTAACTGAAGCGAAAGACGTCGGATACGCTTCTTGTGTGAGTAACACAGTACCACACGAGGCATTGACTGCCTCGGCTGTCGACACCACGACACCCCCAGACGTGGGTAGCGAAGTTCCACGTCACGCTCGCCGTCGTCGGAGACTCCGCCGCCCTCCAGAGTCGAATCTGAACCTCGTTCAAATGAACGTCGCTTCAAGCGACTTGAAGCCCAGGCCCCGGACCCCTCCGCCACGGCCGGTGGAAGAGTGTTATCACGTCTTCGATGGTAAGACCGGTTTGCCTGTCAAGGTATCTGGTGTCCACTTGGAATCACTGTGGAAACAAGTGAAATCCTTTAAAAAGACCAAGCTGGGCGTAATCAGCAGGGTCCATGATGCCATGGCAGCGTCCCAGGACAGCCAGAAGGAGTACTCTGACAATTACGCTCAAACGCTCAGATGGTACATCTTGGACCACCATAAGATTGAGCTCTTCGGTAAGGTGGCTTCCCTTCAGCTGCCGGTTCCTGCGGATTTCCCCGCGCGTGCGTGATGAGCCCTTGCTCGTAAGTGTCAAACACACTAACACGTTCGACCTGCTCGGCCAGTTTTGATGCCACCAGGCCCTGCGAGGCCTCTATCCCGAACATGTCTTCCATCTTTCGAACAGACTCGAGCTGCGTTTTGTTCAGGTGCGGAAAGCTACTCTGGTACATGATGACAGAACATCAGAGGTTCAGGTAGTAAACCCGCGTTGGCATCGATTGACTACCAAGTGCTACCAAGTGTGGCGGGGTTACACAGCCTCTTGCGTTTGAGGAGGTGTCGATCTTCCGAAAGTATACAAACCCTAAGTGAATGACAGCACTCGTGTTCCTGGTCTGCCGGGATGAAGTAACAAGCTAAACGTACGCTAAGACTGAATGTATTTATAGGTAAGGCTAAGCTTGAGCTAATACAAGCTATAAGTCACCTTAAGTAACGCTACGAAATGATCCAATGGTTGACTCCTGAAGCCACTGGTGCCATGTATACAGTCCTTCTAAAAAGTAACTTTAGCTACTCTTCATGTAATGTTACACCATTTTCCGATCAAATCGAGAATCTCTCCGACCAAAACCTTCTCTTGTTTTTTTTTATTTTGATTTTAGCTGTTCTC